ATTGTATTGTATTGTATTGTATTGTATTGTATTGTATTGTATTGTATTGTATTGTATTGTATTGTATTGTATTAAGAATAACCAAAGAACCACCGGGAAGACTAGCAAAAATGTTTCCAAACAGATCACCAGAATGCTGGAAATGCAAATAGACACAGGGAACATACTACCACATGTGGTGGCCCTGTCCTTCAACAAAAAAATATTGAATAAGGATTTAAAAAATGGTTGGAGGAAATGGTAAAACAGCAAATAGATTTAAAACCAGATCTATTTCTATTAGTGACATTTCCCTTCTCCGTGTTTTTCCCAGGTGCTGGTGGTGGATCAGCTGAGCATGCGTATGCTGTCCTCCTGTTGCAAAATGACAGATATCATGACGGAGGGGATAACAAGTAAGTAGAACTTTGGGGCTGTGCTCACACCACCCATTGGGACCCACAATCTGTCCCTTCTTGTGCACAACCTGCAACATTCCTTTAGGATGAATCTCTCAGGGAGAATGTTCAGATGTCTCTTCTGAAATCCTCAAGGATACAGCTCCTTCTGCCTCCAGGAAGCTAAGAAAGGAAAGCGAGCTGGGGACGGGGAGATAACTTTCGAACTGAACTGATCTCCAGATTTGAATCGGAGCTAAGGCTCCTTGAAACCGCCCAACCTTTGTTCTGATTTCCTTCTGCTCTCTTTTCTTTCTGGCAATCTCTGCTTGTCCCCGTTGGGCTTGACCGCATCCAGTTGTAGAAGATATTAATAAGCGTCGAGAGCCGCTACCTAGCCTGGAGGCTGTGTATCTCATCACTCCATCCGAAAAGGTGGGTTTTGTGTTCATAGGAAAGCTATCCGGGTTGGGTACAGCATCCTAACAGAACAACTGAGTTGGAATCGGGGGGTAAAACGTCAAAACGTTTTGCCCCAGATCCTATTTTTTACCTTTCTAACACCGCAAATTAACTCAGGCTGATATTCTTGATGAGAAGTAAACTGAATCTATTCAATCTTCTTTCTCAGTCGGTGGAGTCTCTCATTGCTGACTTCAAGGAACCCCCCAATGCCAAATATCGAGCTGCGCATGTCTTCTTCACGGACTGTAAGTATGGAATAAACTGGGGTTCCATCTCTGGGTTGCAATATTTTTGAAGTGCCACCCCGTTTTCAGGATCTGACTCATGGCCACACATCAAACTGTAGTTCATCTGCAATAGAAGCAGCTGCTTTAATGAGATCCCGGCCACGTTCACCTGAACTAGCTCTGTTTCCGGGTTCACACAAGCCGCTTATGGATTTGCCTAACATGATGCTAAGTCAATAAATGAATTCCAAAGTAAGGCTAATCCAAGCCAGCATCTCATGCAAAATCCTAAATTGTGTGAAAGCAGCCATTGAACAATCTAAGATCTTGCATCGGAAGTTCCTGAACTGAACTGTGGATTGATTGATCTATCTGACTTTCAAAGAACGCCCCCAAATCCTTGGATCCTAATCTCTTCTGGGACCATTCTTCTTGCTATCTTTGAGTGGGTGGGATAATCTGCAGTTATCCACTTTAGAGAAAATTAAGGGGTTTGTTCGTCTTGTCTAAGCTTTATGTTTGTTGTGTCTTTCTGTTCTCAGCTTGCCCAGATTCCTTGTTCAATGAACTGGTCAAATCCCGGGCAGCCAAAGTCATCAAGACTCTGACGGAGATCAACATTGCTTTCCTGCCCTATGAGTCCCAGGTAAACTGTTGACTGAGCTAGAAGTGAAGATAGACTATTTGGATGTAACTACATTTAGATCCATTCATTCTGTTTCTCCTCTGGACTGTCACTGCTCTGTCTTGTTGGTGCAAGTTTTCTTTGTAAAATGCTCCAAGGGTTTTGGACAAAATGACCCAATGTTCTTCAGATGCCTTCAGAAGTTGTGGATGCTCCATCTCAGGAGGTTTTTAAGAAGAGATTGGACACCTATTTGTCTGGAATGGTACAGGGCAGGGGTCAGCAACTTGTGGCTCCGGAGCCACATGTGGCTCTTTTATCCCTCTGCTGTGGCTCCCTCCTTTCATCCCTCTGCTGCAGAGAGAAGCAGCCAGGGCTGATTCTCCGGTGCCTCATCTCTTGTTTGGTCTCATGGGCGCTTCTTCCGGCCCTTGTTGGTGCTGGGTGTGCCTTGGTCACTCAGGGAGGCACGCAACCTGCTC